TGAATTTTTTTTTGGGGGGGGGGGGGGGGGGAGATTACACTACTACATTACTGATTTGTCAAAAATACTTGACCTTCTTTAGTTGCTATATCTGAAATTAATATTTATGTGCTTAATTGCACAAGCATAGGTTAGATACTTCTTTAAAATTGTTACAGTATATAAATACATAAAGCACATAATTATACTTTGAAGTGTATGAGATAATTGCAGTACATCATGTATAATGGATATGTTCTTGGAAACTGTTTCTTGAGCATGTACTAGATTATATTTTTAACCCACATTAAATACAAATTTTGGTTCATTACTGACGGGACTAATATATTGTAATATGCAAAATATGAGACAGCTTGTGAAATTAAATGTTTGGCATATTTGAAAAATTGTTTGTGCTCGTTGAGATAGTGTAGATTTGATAATCACTTATATATTGCTTTGTTACTTGAAAGATATGACAGTTCCTCTTGTTTAATATTTATTAATATATTAATATTTATATGCATCATATCAATTCATACTGTGAATACTTTGTTGAAGATTAAAGTAATTACAGTATAAACACCCTGAGAGGTTCCTGTTTAAAATGGGTTTTTCTTTACACTTTGTCAAGGTTTTCTTTGTATCTTTTATGATATCTTCCCTACTGGAATGCTTGTCCTGTTAAACTTTCAATAACTGGTCTATTAAAAAATATTTTAAGAAGGTTTGTTTGTAAGTTCTGTTTATATGTGTACACAGCTGATACTTATTTTAGTTTTGGTTTTCTGTTTACAGCTTTTGAGTGACATACCGTCCATGTTATTGCTGCATTGTGATAATCTGGTAAGATTTTATTTAAAAAGAAGTCAAACTTTATTATATGTAATTGCAGTCACAATTAAAAGTATTTTCATGTCTTGTAATATTTTCAGATATAAATTAATATGAATACAAGATGTTTGGTGAGTTCAGGTTTCCAGTATTCACAAAACACAAACGTACATGGTTTTCTAATGACATAAAATGTCTTATGTATGTAGCTGAATGAATTTGTATCATGTGAGTGAATAGGTTCAGGTCTTTTCTCAGGCAGTGGTGATGGATTCCAGACAAGAAGGCCAACTGTGAATATGTTGAATAGGCTGTGACGGATACTTGGCTGGAGATGGCCTTGTAGTTTGGAGGCTGGAGTTAACAACTCTGGACTATTGTGGTTCTCAGTTAATCTAGAAGGCTTTGAACTGGCAAACAATGAGGGTGTTGGTGTTCAACCTTTGGTTTCTGTTATTATCAGATAGTAACAAGTACACCTTATATGTAGCATAATGTTTGGCATAATTATGTCACAAGTCACCACAGTTGCTACATTTCAAAGAAATATTGTTTTGTGTAGTATAATTTTATGTTTTACATATTTACCACATTTGTGCTTTCTCATTCATTTGTAATAAAGTAGAAAGATAAAGCTGTCCCTGTGACAAGCACCACACCATGAGAGATTACATTTGAATCGTGGAAAATAGATTTGATTGATTGTAAAGCTCATTAAACTACTTGCAGCCCGAAAAAATAATTTTTACAAGCCTGTACACACATATACCCATGCATGCATGTACACATATGCACTCTGTCTCTCAGACCGCTTGTAGCTAAAGCAGACTGTTTACTCAAAATGTGTTAAGACATAGGAGGTGCAAAGTGAACCTCATGTCAGAATATTTAATGACTAATGAATAATTTCAATAAAATTCCAGCACACTTTAATTCTGACTTTTATTCAGTTTACTGCTTAGTGTTACGATTCATCATTTGTCATGTAAAAGTAAAGCTGTCCCACTATACGCCATGTAGGTGCTTTGGGGGAGAGAAGGTATAGCACCTACTCATTCTTGACCTCAGCACTGGATGGGGGTGAGTGGTCAGCATCGCGCTCCGGCCACACTTTACCCCTGGGAAAGGACCCCAGTACCAATTGGATAGGAGGCTGGGTGGGCCCCAGAACAGGTCTGGATTCAGAGGCTAGAGGAAAATGCTCTATCCCCATCGGGGATTGAACCACAGTCATCCAGTTCGTAGCCAGTCACTATACTGACGGAGCTACGCTGACTCGTCTTCATCTGTCATGTGGTTTTTCAAATGATTAGACAATAATATTGTTATGTCAGCATGAATCAAACATCTTGGGTTTGTGTGAGTTCTACCAAGAACATAACATTTGACAGGGAAGTGCATTATGGTGATTCTCTAACTTTTTGTGAGAACCGCTTATTCATTGTACTGGTATAATGTAATCTCTTTGTAAATGTTCAGTTTAAGAAATTTTCTAATGTTATGGAACTTGAATATTTGGAAATAACTGAGTTAATATCTACGGTGATGCATTACATTACTCTTTGAACTTCATTGCAAGCCATGATTGCCATATTAAAAGTTTTTATTCAGACACTATGTGCAAACTATTGTGATGTTTTAGTGTACTAATTTAATATGTTCTTTTTGACAGGTAGATTGCTGTAGACTGAATTGGAAAACCTGTGGATCAAGACAAGATGTTAGTATCTGTGCAGCTATAGAGAACTGTGTTTGGATTACATTTATTGCATAGGACTCTAGGACCTTCATGCCTGAAAGAATGTTTTTGACCAATAATTCTTATGCTTGTAAAAGTCAGTTGAGCAAAACATTGTATATACATATATGTGTATATTATGTACTATGCATATTTTAATTACCTGCTGTAGCTGCTTGACATATCATTTTAATTATGTTACTAAAATAATTATGATGTGTTACGCAGGTTCAAGAAGAAAAGCAATTGGATACAGGTGTTGAGTTTTTCTGTAAGAAGTTTGAAATGTTGACATTACTGTAGTCATACAAGTGATGTGCTGAGGTGCTGGGTGTCCATCTTCAGTTATTTTGTAAATTAATTCTGTGTAAGGTGTGCTTAGTCATGAAGAGAGACTTGTTTCTTAGTGTTTTCTTGTTAACACATGGAATCAGAAAAGAATATGAATTGCTATAAATACACATTTTCCTTATGTATATAGTAATAATGGTGTTCCTTTATGGGAACATGAAGATGTCATAATAGTGTATATTTCTTGGAGAGAAGTGTCAGTCAATTTTTCTGCTTTCTTTGTTAAATAAAGTAATAACTGCTATGCAGTGATCAAGAGAATGCAACACCAGTAATAAACAGTGCTTCATTAATTTCATTGCATTTCACTAGATTTGCATGCTACTAAAACTATCAGCCCAGATATTTTCAGGGGCTTTCATCCGCCTGAGTGTCCTGTAAAACAGCTACACATAATTTTGGCCTATGGACAGGTAGTCTCCCCCCCACCAGCTGACTCTGATATTTCATTGAGAAGTTTTTCACTGTGATTATATGCATATGTGAAAATTCATAAATATGTATTTGACTTCAAGGCCTATGTTTTGTTTATCATACAAATTACATTTTGTATTATCATGTACTGCATGCTTAATTTATTGCTAAAATTATGTGATCCATATCTGAAATAGTTGTGTATTCATTCACTTCATTCTTCATTATAGCTTTTTTCTTTAATTTCATTCATGCATTGTGGAGATATGATGACTTAATTGCATTGCCGACAGATTTTGGGTGCTTTTTTATTTTTATTACTATCATAAATATAAATGTTGCATTAAAATATTGGATCCATGCACACAGTATGCCTGCATGTTTAAATGCGGATGTGAATCTGTTGGTGATTTGTATGTTATAATAAATTTTGTGTGAGTGTGAGAGAGAGAATGTGTTCTTGAATGATTAACATTGTTAGTCTATGCATTGGTATTCTTCCATATTTTTAATATTAATGAAATGTGAGAGCATTTATTCTACTGATGGGAGCCATAAACTTTGAACTCTTGTTTTGGAAGTATGAATTAGTTTCTGTCAGTTAAGAGAATCTCAGAATATGGACGGAAACGTAACATATTTGAGACGTTATAAATGTTCATATTCCGTTTTACCAATGTTTTTTATGTAGTTGAAATTGTGTTGTGGTTTCTTTTTTCATGAAGTATGTGAGTGGGTCCTCTTTCTAGTTGTTGATACAAGTTTTTCTACCACTTGCAACTTGATCTCATGGTAAATAATTTACTGGTTAATATTTTCTTGATGATAGGGATTATAAAATGTATGAAAATGCCCCAGATTTGCTGTTGTAAATTATGTTTGTAATGTCATGACAGTTTTTGTTGGTTACATAGTTGTCTTTCCAGTGATATTTTCACTATGTAATTGATAGACTAGTTTAATTTTTAAATTATAGTATGTACATTTTGGTGAGTCATTTTTCTTTTTCCTTGAAGTGTATATGAATATAAATGAGAGATGTAAATAGTTTTGTCACACTTCCTCTACAGAAACCTTTTAAACTACAAAAATTTCAACATCATCTGTGTAAACAAAGTAATTTCTTATCAGATGCAGCTATAGCTGTAAAACCTGAATCTGGCGGTATTTAATTTTTACTCAAATGTATGATATATTTAGATGACAATAAATGTTTTGAGGGAAATCTGTGAATTAAGATTCATTTGTCACTTGCACCTCTTTTAAAATGGAACTGAAATGTTACACAGTTAATTCAGAAGTTTGTCATTGCATAGGAACTGCAGCAGTTATAAATACGATTTTAAAAGTACATGTTATTTAAAAAGGGAGAGAACTGTCCTCATGTTCTCCCTACTGGGCACATCTTGGTCTCATTTATGTTGGGAAGTCGAGTAATAGAAGTTTTGATTTTATTACATCACCGTCATGTTTTGAGGTGGCACCACCATCGCCTGAAATGTTGGGCCAGTGAAAATGGCGGATGAGCAGGTAAGGAGCGAAACAAAGAGTATTTGGTGTTTTAATTTGTGTTTATTACTAATTGGTAATTCAGGTGGATTAAATATACATATGCCTATGTTTAATGTAGCATATAATGTCTTTCATTTCTTTACTTGGCTCTTTTATACTAAAACATGTTAATGCGACGCCAAGGCATCGTACACTTGTTCTACACCGGAACAAATTAGCCCTAGTCAAATGCACGCATCAAAAACATTGTATATTTTTGCGTTTGTTGTTGATGACAGATCTTGTGTGTGTATTGCCGGTTTAGTTTGTAGATTAGAAGTGCTGTTTTACAGTGTTTAATTCAAGTTGTTCAACTCGAAAGTTTAATTGCATGAGAAAATGATGCTTCAAGCCGAACAGCTTAATGGCGTAACTGAAGATTTTGTCGTGAATTTTTGTGATAGCATATAAACGAAGATATATTGTGAAATAACCGACACTTGCTAGTTCGATTATTATATTTCAATATTTTATCCTTAAAATTGGAGTTGGAATGGTAATTGCCTCTCACAAGTTTAGCTTTTTATGCATGAAAGAAAAAAACTAACACCAGTATAATACCTGAAAAATTTCTCTCTTTTTGAATTTTTCTTTTGCGTAAAACAAAGAAAAACAATACAAGAATCTTACAACCCTCTTCTTCTAGGAGGTGCGGCAGTTGGAGTTGCTGTGTAAAGAGCTCTATGAGTCTCAAGATGCAGGTCAGAGGGCAGAAGCAGAAAAGGCCCTTCTTGGCTTCCAAAATGCTCCAGATACTCTGTCGAAATGCCAACTTCTTCTGGATCGAGGAGATTCCTGTTATGCCCAGCTTCTGGCCGCTACCACTTTGACCAAACTTGTGTCACGTAGTGCCCAAGGTCTCAGTTTGCAACAAAGAGTTGACATCCGTAAGTTTGCATTTCAGAATTTGTATAAGTTGGTTTGTAAAACAAGTTTTATTGCACTTATTTATATGAACTACATTTTATTCTGTCTCTTTCTAAATTTATGCTGTAGCCATTAACAGAATAGACTAACACCAGAAACCTTTTTAACTGTAAAATAAATTGTGGGAAACCTTTTGAAAACTGTGTTTCATAAGATTCTTTCAGTGTATGGTGTCAACAAGAACTGTACATCTTAGTTATGAATTTTTGTGCATCATTTCCATTACTACAGATTCTTACATTGACTTTCTCAGTTATAACCACAACATTTTACAGTGTTCCTTTGTCATCACCACTATGTAAACAGTATTTCAAACAGAATTTGCAGACATGTCTTCATGCCAGACCTGAGGTTTGTACTGTGGTAAAAATGTCATTGTTGGTCTCCTTGGTTGTAAAGCTGTCTGGATTTGGACTCTGTAGGGGTAAAGATCAAGGCAGTGCATTTCTCCAAAATGTTGATATCTACCTACAAGTTCACACAGCATTACAACCCAGAAGACCAACATAGGTTTATCTTCATACCAGATTTGACATGGCTGGCTTTGATGGTTGATTAGTTTTTGCTATCATACTGAAAGTTAAATATAGATTTCTTATGGCCATCATGTTGTAGTTTTACATTCTCAAACAAATTTCTTTATCAAAAGTTGTCAGACACAGCTACAGGTTTTTTTTATTTCCTTGACGTGTCTTACTGATACCTGCATTCATTACATTACGTATGTGTGATATGTGGTCATCATAACTTCTTCTTATCAAGCTAGGAATGCTTATGTCCCTTTGTTGACCAAACTGTTATTCCTTGTTCAATTTTTTCATTCACCAAGGGAGAAAGTTTTTTTTTCTATTGGATAGTCACTCTGATGATGGGGGTGGCAAGGACCTCTGAAATGTTGATAAACTACAACAACACTATATGACACAACAACCAAGAAGACAGCCATCTTTGTACATACTGCTGTGAAAACCTCGGATCCAACCACAAAGAAACAAACAAATCACATGTATAAGTTAGAATGTTTCAGTGCTAAAGCAAATAGTTTTGTTTGCTCTTTGACTTTTATATTGTATACTACATAATTTGTCTAGGTTCCTAGGTGTGCATGTTGCCTACATTATATTTTAAATGGAGCACTTAAGAAAACCACCCTTGGGCTATCTTTCCTGTATTTGACATCACTGTTGTTAAAGGAAATGCCATGATAGCATCCCAGTACCTAAAAATGGCACTGCTCTGCCACCATGGATTGCTCTTGCTTGACTGATTACTGGTTATAGTTATTCTTAGGTAAACTGAGCTTTATTATAAAAACACAAAACCAAACAGTTCTGTTGCAATGTGAGCCACATCGAAAAGTGAAGTGTAGTGATATTTTTTGGTGTGCTGTTTATCAGACACCAAGTTATTAAACTTTTCTTCAGTTAAGATATGTTGCTTTCATGTCTTCTTTTTGTCTAGAAAAAAGTGTGTTTCATGAAACTTTTCACTAGTGTAACAGGTCACTATGAAACGAATCTGCTTTTAGCTACATTTTGTCCAGGACAAATATTTTTCAACATTGTTTTTGAACCCCTCATTTCCTTTTACACCACTCAATCCTGTATTTAATGGAGTTGGATATTTTATTTTATATGTAATGCTGTAAAACTGAGCAAACTTACTAGCAAAGGTAAGGGTACAGTATGGGATACTAGACATTGCTAGTCATGGTTTAGCAGTAAACTGAACTGCTTGTAGTTTGAATTGTCATAATATTATATTAGTTGCATCTTTATATTCTTTAATGTCACCAAAATTATAGAATACCTTTATGTTATAATACTGTTTAGATAGTCTTTGTTTTACCAGTGATGTCATATTTTGTTGTCATGCTGTCTGTTATGAATTATTTGCCTATTGCATTGCACAGAAATTACTGTCTTATAGAGTCATCGTTTGCAATAACATAATGTGATTATAAATCTCGTAACAAATCATTTAAAATAATTGTTGTCCATAGTGTTAAACTTGAAAATGTGCACTTCAGTGTTATTAATATGAATAATATTTCACAATTGTTTTTTATTTATATCTGTGCAAGTTACATTCAGCTGTATGTATTTTAATTACTTTTAATTTGAATTCCGTATTGATAGTTATGGCAATATTGGAATGGAAACCATAAAGCAGTTCTTCATGTTTTGCATGCAGTCACTACACCATGGTTGTATTATAAAATATTAACGAAGTTGATTGTTATAACAGCTTTAAATGTGGTGTGTTTGTTGTAATTGGTATTTAAATTTTTCAGGCAACTACGTTCTGAATTATCTTGCAACTCGACCCAAACTTCCAAATTTTGTTATTCAAGCCTTGGTGACTCTTTTTGCTCGGATTAGCAAACTTGGATGGTTTGACAGTGACAAGGATGAGTTTGTCTTCAGAAATGTTGTCTCTGATATTACAAAATTCTTGCAGGTAAGTCTTGCATGATTGGGAGGGAAGTAGTTGGTTGGTATCAAATACCTATCATGTTTCTAAAGACAAAAAATTTGGAACTTTCTAGATTAAGATTGCATTTTCACATTTTCTCATGATATGATTCTAGTAGGAGGGGGTCATGTACAAATGGCTATCATACTTGTTGCTACTTTGTCTTTCTGGTTTCTTTGGTTGCTCAAACCAAGGGATAAAGAAAGACAGTCCAATAATTAGCAAACTATAGAATGCTCATAAAATGTAGTTGATAAAGATTTTGTTAGAAGCTTTGTTTTATGACTCCTGTATTTTATTTGCATGTAAATAATAATAATATAATTCATCTTCTTACTAATTATTAACCATACACGTTTCTTAGTAGTTATGAAAATTAGTAGACTGGTTATTTGCTATTTGTCCATGATATTGCTAATGGAGTGCAGTATAACACCAATAACTAGTGGTGTTAGATTTTTGCATCCTTTTGCATGAATTATTTTGGAGGTTTAATTTTTAAGGAGTTAAGTAAAAAGATGTCTGGTGATAAAAATCAGAATTTTTAGAGAGAAACTTGTTTGTTCCTGAATGAACTTGGTATGTCCACATTCCTTCCAGAAAGTCCCTCCTGGGAATTTGTAAATATGAATCAAATCTTTTATAAAGAAGAAATAGACCTTACTCAGTTCTGAAAAGAAGGGGAACTTTATTGATAGAAACACAACTGAAAACTTGGGACTTATTTGTAATTATACTTATAGCTCCCAATGAAGGTATTTATGATAAGCATATTAGAGGTGGCCAGAGGTTACAGTCAGGTCAGGCTCCAACTGCACAAATCATTTTCATGGGAAAACTTGATAAATAATATGGTATGAATTTATACAACCAGTAAATTATCTGTAATTTCTTGAAGCTAAACTAATTGATGCAATTTGTAGCTTATATTTAATTGATGCAAGTTAGCTCAAAATGTCTTATTAGTTAACATACCACGATGTTTAGAAATTTCACTAACGTAAATAATTTCTGCTCCAAGCAATTTCTGGCATCTCAGAAGTCCTGAATTCATTATCATTGGACACATCTCTATCACCGGGTGTTATAACTGTAATTTTGTTGCATATAAAATCCTATACCAGCCACTGGGATGAAGTTCTTTATTTAAACCATGACTGACAAAGTCACAGATGGTAAGGACTGTTATACAAGGAAAATTTTGTGAAGGGTACATGATTTTTGGGACACGCATCAAGTCCTGATATATAAAAGTACTGAGAAAACGTAAATGACAAATACAGTGTGTGAAGAAGCACTGCACAATAGTAAATATGATCGCTGGCTCGGGTATAGGAATTAAGCATTACCTTGGGTTCCTCATTGGTCTCTGAATTATTAGCAGATGATTGCAATGAGGATAGGGAATCCATTGCACATTGCAGGGTGCTTTTCAACACACTGAGCTTAAATAGTTACGGTTATATGTTGGATTTTCAAATCTGTGATTTACAGCCATACTGGCAAGGTGTTACTGCATCTGCAGCAGTTAGAAATTTCTTCAGAAGTCTTTTAAAAAACTGCTTATTCAGGTCATGAGAATATGTAGAAAGTAAGACATATGCCTTTCTTAATATTTTAGTATGTCTGAAAATGAATGCTCGGCTGCATATCTCTGTCTGAACAAACATATCATGTACACCCTCTTAATTATTTTCACTTAAAAGAAAGTTTAGTTCGTATTAACACTTTGCATTTTTACTTGTACGTTGTTTGCACTCACTGTCTTTCAAATCACATAATGAATTCCTATGAAGGATTTGAGGTTTTCATGGTGGTGAGTCTGAAGATGACTGTCTTCAATGAAATTTGGAGGTCTACGCATGTCAGAGAAATCTAATTTCAGTCTGCACGATAATGCCTCCTTTATTTTGTTCTCAAGCTGGCTTTGGAAGCTTGGTATAAATACTGGGAGATGGTAAGGTCAGCACACTGCTGAGGAAAACTTGTGGTGTATATATGAGAACTGTTTTTGTGTTTGTTCTGTGAATTTATGAAAGAGGAAAATGCATTCCTTAGCCTTCCAGACTTACTGTTTAAATTTGAACCGACATGACACCAGTTAAATTTATTTTACAAACTAGAAGGGAAAGCTGAGATGAAAATGTCAGGGAATTTTAACATAACTTTTCTAAATTGTCTGCGAAATGTGTCCTCCATGCAGGTTGGTGTAGCAGGAACATGTTAGAGATACAACTACCAGCTATCCTGGCTGAGATTTTTGTCAGGTTTGGTCAGTCAGTGCAGGCAAATGTAGAATACTACCTTGAAATAAGTCATGATCACCTGTGTTCAAGTACTTCACTTGCCTGTTTACTGCCTGTAATCATTTATCCATATCTTTCACTGCTGTGTAAGATGTACAGGTGAAACACTGGCATTCAATAATGTAAGAATGATGAAGCTGTTTCAGCTTCTTTTGTGTTTTGCATACCTTAGGTCATTTTGTCGATTCATTACATGTACAAATCTATCATGGTCAGAGTTAATCAACAAATGCTGTTACCAACCAAAGTCTTGATTAGATTCATATTTTAGGTCATATGCCAATTTTTAAATCTTGTGTTTGATTTGAGTTTTGTGTAATGGGTGCTTATGGTGGATCAGTACAGACCAAAATTACGTTCGCCTTACACCCAGTACCAAATTAATCAAAATCTGTTGTGTATTTTTGCAGATTGGCTGTTATCGTAGAAAATTTTTGTCATTTTGTGCACAGACGTGTGTGTGTGTGTGTGCATGTATGTATGTATGTGTATGTTTGTATGTGTGTTGAAGGTTAAACATACAGATGGACACTCCTTGCTCACTGTGTTTTAATTAAATACACTTGATCCAGAGAATGCTGAAAAATACTCATGGTATTGTAAAGACACATTCTTGTATGAAGGAAAAGTACAACACAGTTCACCAGTTGGTTCTGCTGTCTTTTTCTTCAGAGAATGACAATATCATATTAGTGTTTTACAAAATCAGTATATATAAAAACTTTCTACAACCGCTAAGTTGTGAATTTGTATGCTGATTCCAGGATGTCACGTTTTACAGTTCTTATATAGTAGTGGCATACAATGTTTTGATATTTTTAGTTAATATCACAATGGAGATATATTTTATGCAGTGTTGCAGATCTCTTTAGTTACTTCATAAAGTGGTTTAAAGATACATTTTTATAATTTGTAGATGGTAGTGATTTCTTTGAGTTTGTTACATATTTTCTTTCTTGGTATGTTGAAAATACTCAATGTATGGTGATATAATTTTCTTGATTACTTACTAGTTTGTGCCTACACTTAATTTTCATTTTTTCTGAGGCTTTCTTCCAGTGGGCAAACTATGATATTACCATTTGTTTTGTTGACTGAGGTAAAATTTCAAGCTGTTAGTTATTTAGATTTTTAAGGTTTTGTGAAAGAGCCTTGTAAGTTGCAAAGCACCCTTATGATGTTTGACAAACAGCTGATGCTGTTCATAAAAAAAAGAAAAGAAAAATGGTCTGTTCGTAGTCTTCTGTTCAGATGTATTGCAATGGTGTGTTGAGTCTGCTAGCACCAGCTATCTTTCTTTATGTTGTAAGATGCTGTGTCTTTTAATCTTTCTTTAAAATTTGCAACAATTTGATTGCATGGTATTATCAGTTGTAAAATGTCTTCATACTTTATTACTGTTTGTAGTTTTAAATTGTTACAAATATTACATTACATGGCTGTGCTCATAAAAAAATAAAATACTGAATAAGAACAGTTTTGAAGGTGATAAAAAAAGCCTTAGTTTGATATGACATGTAATCATTTTTTAGTTTCAATAAATTTTGACACACTATTGAAGATGGCCTTTCTACCTGTTATTCATCCTTATGTTCAGAGGAAAATACCTGATAGCGTATAAGGATATTTAAGTGAGAAAGGGAGGAACCATAAAGGCTTATGAAGAAATGGGTAAAGAGGAATTTGTTCTCTCTTTCTGTCATTTCTTCTCTAACCTTTGCTTTGGTAAGTGATCCTCTCTTTCTTACATCTTCCAATATATTCATCCTTTTAAATTTACCAAGCTGTCTCTTTTATTGTATACTTCATTTGATGGATAGTTTTGTCTCAGTGCCAATAACTGCTTAGTATTTGTTCTCAGGCCCTTGACATTTTCCTTCCTATACAGTATCTGGTTCTTTATATGACTTGTGCTTGTACCAAAAGTAGCATTGTAAATGTTTGAATAAATTAGAATTCAAATTATCATCTCAGAAGTGTCTTGGGAAATGAACTTCCTCTTTTGTCATAATTTTGGAATCTGATCTGTTTCTTGTTTTTTATATTTTCTTTAAAATTATTTACTACAGTATGTTTTGTGTCAAATAATGAATACTAAAATATTTGCAGTGTCACCTCTTGCAATGGGTAGGTTCTGTATAAGAAAGGATGTTTTATGTATTATTCCAAGTAAATACATATTTGTCCTTTTACAATGCTGTATTCAATATTGCATATCTCCAGTTAAATTAGTGTTTATATTGCAACCAAGCTTATAAATTTCAAGTGTTTTATATATGTAAAGGATATAACACATTCACTACTAAGGTTTGAGAGGGAGGCTTGTTTAGTCATGAAGTCTTAAGTATGTTAAAGTACTTTTGCTGCCAGTAGAATGTTGTAAATCCCAGAGTTATGTACTTTATCCCATAGAAATTAATACATGTGCCACATATAAAGGAAATGGGTATATGTTCCTACCCTCCTAACTCATTGTCCTTAACCATATAGACCCATGACTGACAAGGGCAGCCCTTCAGAATGACTACACAGTTTTCCATATGCTAGGAATGGTATGAAATACCAGTATAAGATCTGCTTTCTTTGTATTATTACCTGATATTTAAATTTGCATTTATATGTATTCATATTTGAAGTGCAGCTGGCAGCCACATATTACAGAGGTATAAATTCTGCGTCTCGTACAATAAAGGTTAAATGGTTTGCCATAAATTGATATATGTCCCATCTCTATCCCCATGTTATGTCTTGGTTCGTCTGAGATTTAAATTCAAGAATGAGTTTTTTAGATTCCAAAGAAGTAGCAAGAATGCAGTACAAAATAGGACTGATCAGTTGATAATATATCTTCCATCTACATCTCTTTAGCTAGCAGTATGTGTATTACTATCAAGATTATGTTCAGTAGTGTCTGAACATGTTTCATACACAGGGGTTGTTGGTTCAGGTGCTTAGTAACTATGGTGAAGAAATAGGTGGGTATACAAAGATGTGTATGTTAAAAACAGGGAGAGTGCTGAGAGCTGTGGTCCTTAATTTCTTTGTCATATTATCTCTTTTACATATAATGAGATTTTAATTTGATATTAGCAACATGAGTTCTTTCAGCCATTGGCAGTGGACAACTGCTGGAAGATCATCAAGTAACTGAAGCAGAGAGTCATCTCAGAAGCTGTGTACCATGAAAAATTTAAAGTTATTGGTTCCTAATTGTAAGCATATATACATTAGTCTTAAAGAAGGAACTCTTTAAATTAGTGTTATCCATCCTTGTACAAGTTAAATTTATGTCAGATTATTTGTGGTCATGTGTAATATTTATATTCTGCATACATCTCAGAAAAATGAGGATGTTGTACTGTATGCATGTGTGTGGCTTTACACTCAGTGAGAGTGTATAATTGAAAAGTAATGTTTATGCAACTTTATCACTGAGCTATAGAAGAATTGCCCACCTTTGCATGAATCCATACATCTTTCTGTCACTGTATACAGAACAAGAAGTTTGCAAGTGTTACTATACAGCAGCACAAATTTTATTCTTTATTCCATGGCAGATAGCTTGTGATGCAAAGGATTTGACATATGTAAAGAGTGACTTTGTGTTGAGGCATCTTGTGTGTTTGATTTTACAGTGTTAGCCTCATCCTGGTAAGAGTTGTCTCTTTAATGCTGCACAAAAGAGATATAATTACTGTTCAGCATACATTTTTAATAAAATTATGTATCTGTACAATTTTCTTGTAATTTTTAAGATACAAAGATTTCTTGACTGTGTTTATTTTTAGAATGTGCCCTGTTAGTCTGGGTAAGTGTTTATTATTAACAATATTAAAGCCTTGGAAAATGTAATTTAATGTTAGTGATACACCACTGAAGTGAAACTCTTTATTGAGGTTGGCTCTCTTCTGCATTGTAGCATCGGGTAGTCTGATACAAGTTTACTGACATTGTAGAGGTACTTGCTGCCTCCAGTATCAGAGCAATGAGTAAGCCATGCATGATGAATCAGTTTGAGATATAAACCAATTCCTCATGTGCAGCTTACTCATCACCCTAATGATGGAGAACAGCAGCACCTCTGAAACATCAGAAAACTTCTACCAGAGTACATGGTGCTACAACCCAGAAGAAAGCTGTCCACATACTCGCTGCTTTGAGAACCTCATATCCTATTGTGTTTATTGAAGTAATAGGTGAATGTGGTATAGTGGTTTGAATTTTGTGTAATATACTGTAATTGCAAACTCCCTTACTGAGGACTCATGCAGGTAATACTTGGGCCTAAACAAATTTTAGTTGTTCAGCAGTTTGAATTCTGTTTGTTATGAATGAAAAACTTTAACATGCTTTGAATATGAATCCTCTAAATTGGCTGTCTTCGCTGAAATATAAAGTATAAATGATTTTTTAACATGGCAGTCATTTTGAAATTTATGAAAATACATTTATATAAGTATCTTTTTATGTGTTTATATATATTTTAAAGCAGAAAATCTTTAAATTCTGCAGTGTTTTATTATATGGATTCTCATTTGTGTTTGTGAAGAATTACATTGTGGGCCTATACAATTTCTTTAAGTAGTGTTGCTGTACATTGTGTGAAGCGGTTGTTAACATGCTGGGAGCCTGAAAAGCTGTGTTTTAAGTTTAAAAAATCTGTGTAGTTTACAGTATATGTAATCATTATTGTATTGAAACTGTTGAGATTGTTTTAATTTTGAAACAAATAATAATTGTTTTGTTTATGTACTTGAAGGGCTCTGTGGAGCATTGCATGATTGGCGTGCAACTTTTGTCACAATTGACCTGTGAGATGAATCAGATCTCGGAAGCAGATGCAAACCGTTCACTGACGAAACATCGTAAAATTGCATCATCATTTCGGGACACCCAGTTATTCGAGATTTTTCGTCTCTCCTGTTCACTGCTTGGGACTGCTAGGGAAAACTGCAAGAGTCTCAACTTCAATGATGAAGGACAGGTATATCCTTACAGATATATTTTAATGCAACACAGCAAAAAATACTAGTACTTGGCTAGGAGCTCACAGCAGTGTATTCTTGTTTGGTTTTTCTGCCTAGAATTTAGTGTGTAATTTTGGCTTTCAGGGATAAGCTGGGTTGATTGTTAAAGGTTTTCCAGTGTTTCAGTAAATATTGCAGTTGTCTTGAATATCTGTGGAGGGTTTAGGAAACCATATAAAAGTCTGGCGTTGGGAGGTGTTTGACATGATTAGGTGAGCAGAGGAGTGGGCTGCTTCCATTTGGGTAGTACTTCACTTCTGTGTGCATCCAGTTATATTGATTGCTTCTCACCACTCGGATCCTACTACCGAATGTTATAAGGGCCGCCCCCCGTCCTATAGATATTCACCTTGGAGATGGCAACTGCAATGGAAAACTGTCAGTAATTGTTGTGGCTTGTCACTGGAAGACAGAGTTACATAACAGTAGTATATTGCTTCAGATATTTGATATAGTTTGCAATAACTAAATTATCACCTTCTTAGACCTTTTGTTGGTATGTGTACATGCAGACAGTCATCTGCAGTATCTTGACTTTTGTGAAACAGTCTTAACTAAGCAATATCAGAAAACATGTGTTAATTTATTGCATAGAAGAATGGAGGTTTCATATCAGATTACAGGCTTCTATGACAATGTAATGCAATGCATTTTCTTTGCATTGCTATCATTGCTGCATTCTGTTTTGTTCACTAAAAGGCCAGAACTATGCTGTAAACAACTTTTTGTTTTGCCCTGTTATGTTTGATGATATACACATGCCTGACACGTTCTCTAGTTCTTTTTTCAGTATATTGGTTTGAGTGATTAATTTTTGTACCTTGTATTTCAGCATGGTTTGATGACCCAGTTACTACGGTTGGCTCACAATTGTCTTACGTTCGATTTCATTGGCACATCAACAGATGAATCTTCAGATGACTTGTGCACAGTTCAGATTCCCACCAGCTGGAGACCTGCATTCCTTGACTTCTCAACACTGAAGTTGTTCTTTGATCTCTACCATTCCTTACCAAATACACTGTCTCCATTGGTAAGCAGTTCATTCTTTAGTATTTCTCAGACTGTAACATAATAAGTAAAAAGAATTTATGGTATAATACTTTAATTTTCATAGTATAAGATATACTTTATTCCCTGGAAAATTGTAAAAAAAGTTGGGTGCAGGTTATAATTGGAAGGTGTTGCATGTTTTTCCCTAAAATGTACTCTCTAATATCATATTGTTCCCTTGGTGTGTATTAAAGTATGAAAAATATGGTAATTGTGTTGTGTTTACATGAGACAAACAGTGGAATTGGTATTTGGAAGATGATTCCAGGGTTTCATTTCCTAACATCCGCGTTGAAAAACAAGTGATTTTGAACATATTAAAAGTTGTTTTTCTTATTTTATAGAAGTTCATACTCAGTATGAACTGCATTTTTGTGCATTATTCGCACAGGGTTGAGTGGTAAAATGAAACAGATCCAGATAGAATTTTACCTTAGTAATGAAAAGAAATATGGCAAGGGGAAATGTAAAATTTATGGAACAGGTTGAAGCTCATATTGTTAGTATTAGGAAATTCAGATAAATAATAAAATTAATTTGCATGGTGCCATTGGTCTGAATGAGCAAGTTTTATTTTTGTCAGTATCCTCTTGCCATTTAAATTAAAGATCTCTCATTGAGATCTTACATTATTCACTGGTATATTTGACAGTGACAGAACACATTAATGTTTTGTTTTTGAAGGATCTTTAAGAAATGCAACTGTTTCTGTATGCTTTATCATATTTGTAATATAAATCAAAAAGAAATCAGCTGTTGGAATGGGGATATTTGTAATTGTTGTCAGTTTTCTACATGACTGTTATCTTCTGGGTTATGATGCTGCGTAGTCTTGTAGGTGATTATCAATGTTTCTTACTCATTTTATAACCATCTACAGAACTACCTCAGAACCACATTTGACATTGGCACTACCATGAGAATCTGAAATCTCAACATATATATATACACATATATATATAAAAAAGAGAGTCAATAGAAACGTCACTCGTAAAGTACCATTTTATTTTAAGTAGGAAGCATTTCAGTTCTTTAGCTGCACACACATTATGAACACAGTTTATTGTGTACCTGTATGGAACTGGGGAACAACATGGGACATAGCTTGTTACTGTCATTTTAAGATAGATTTCACTTATTTATTATTAATGTCTTTTCTTTTTTACATATAGGCATTATCATGTCTTGTACAGATCGCATCAGTCCGTCGTTCCTTATTTAGTAATACTGAAAGAGCCAAATTCCTTACACATCTGGTCAGTGGAGTCAAACATATACTTCAGAATCCACAGGTATTTCCTAATTACTTTAAATTTTTTAAGCTTATTGAATGAGCAAATAACTGTTCACATAATTATTACTCTTAATGTGTTCTGCAGGGATTGAGTGATCCAAGCAACTATCATGAATTCTGTCGCCTATTGGCAAGACTGAAATCAAATTATCAGCTGGGTGAGCTAGTCATGGTTGAAAACTATCCAGAAGCTATCCAACTTATAGCCAAATTTACAGTGCAAAGTTTGCAGGTATGTACTGAAACATTTGACTTTTTTTATTTATTTATTTTTTTCAAAAGATTCTCTACTAGAAAGTGAGCATAGATGTACTACTATATAAAAAAGTGTGATGAA